TATTATTATTATTATTATTATTATTATTATTATTATTATTATTATTATTGTGTGGTCCTCGATGTGCTTGTTGTTGTGAGGGCATTGCTCTCGCTGTCGTTCTTTTTCCGCTGGTGTCGATGCTGAAACCGCACACTCTTGCTTCTTCACCCACTCACTCTTTATTTCCTTCCTTTGACTTTCTTTTTTTCTGTGTTTGAAGTATAGTCTAGTTTTTTTTCGTAGTATGGCAGATAGTGGTAGCGGACTTTCTAAAGATCTGTCTCCAATGCCAAAGTGGCATAAAGCAGAAGTAGATGCTCCTCGTGTACGTGAAACTGCTCAAAGAGTTATACCCTTTCGTGCTGTTGTTCAGTCACCGTTAGGTTCTTCTGTAGCTCAGAATTCTTGTGCTTCACCACCTTCTGGTGGTTCGCGCCTTCCTTCCGATAATAATGTTGGTACTGTTGGGCAAACTGATGATACTGAAAAAAGTTTGCAAAGAAGTCAGCAGGAAACTGAGAAGGAAGAAGGAGGGAATGATATTTTTTCTGTTAGGGATGAGAAAAAGCATGGTGGATTTGAGCTACCTGGACGTCTTTTTGGACGACGAGATCGTTGTTCAGGTAATACTTCACTATTCCTGCAAGAACCCACGTCGATGCGTACTTCTGTAGGTGTTGCTGGTGTTACAAATCATTATCGTGATGGGATGCATATGACAAACGATGTTTTAAGTGGTGGAGCTCTTGATGGTCGTATTAATGCAGTTTCCACTGAAGGAAGTGGTGGCAAGTTTGTAGAGGAAAATGAATTTATTTCTGACGTTCTTTTTATGTGGATGGGTGTGGATAAAACAAAGTATTTTGTGTACGATGGAGCAGCACATCGTTATATTGTGAATCCACAGTGGGGTACAGTACGACAGCGACAAGCTGCAGCTGCATTGCAGGAGTGTGGTTGTTTGGCACGTCAAATTGATGATGTGCTAAAGGGTGGTACAGCAGAGCGCTCATTTCTACAGCAAAGTTTACGAAGTGCGGTACGTTTACAGCTCTCTCAATATCATTGTTTAGTGGCATCATTCCGTGAACGACGATCTCCTTCCATGACTTTCAGTGATTTGGTTGTTGCATTCAAACGTGTGCAACCTAAACTACGAGTACTTCACACTATACTCCGTGAAACGGAGTCAGCGAAGGGAGGTGAACTTGCTTCTAAACTCCAGAGACTTGTTCAACAAGGATCAACACGTCTTTATGCTCTTTTATCTGATGTGTACATGGAAGCTGTGAGTCCCCTTCTTCAGATGACTGTGTCAAGTATTACAAAAGGAGAAGTTTCTGATCCTTTTAGTGAATTTTTTGTAAAGACTAATTCAAGGATTGATGATACATCTGATGCATTCTGGTCATCTAAGTTTTCACTTTTACCTGAAATGCTACCAACTACAGTCCAACGACCTTTAGCTGAACAAATCATGCTAGTAACGAAAAATATAAGCTTCATTAGAAATTGTTGTAGATGTAAACAATGGCATATGGATCCTTCCATTGTAGCAGCAGCACAAAGTGCGTCTTTTGATACAATTGGCGTTGTTGTTCGAGATGCCGTGCGGTTTACTAATACTGCAGTATTGAGGTTAATTCGTGAAGAGTTTCATCTTGATAACGTACTACGCATGGTGAACGCATTTCTTCTTGTAGGTAACGGTGATTTTTATGAACTTCTTATTAGCAGATTAGATCCTGTGCTAAGCAAATTGAGCCATATGGTACAGACTTCTGTCGTTCGGGATCATATGCAGAGTGCACTTCTTGAAATTGTACCTTATACAAAACATCTTGATACAGATCTCTTTTCTATGCTTCACTGTGAATTGGTGAAAGACGATAAAATTATAGGTTGGGATGCCTTTGTTGTCACGATGCCAGTACCCTCACCTCTTAACAATATTTTTGATGTAACTGCCATGAAAGTATACCGTCGTCTTTTTCGTATAATGTTTAAGGTAAAAAGGGCTGAAGTCGCTCTAAAGAAATCATGGAGACAAAGTGTTGTGTTGGATCGCATTATTGGACGACTTCATAACACAAACCGAGAAGCAACCGCATGGAGAGAAGTTGCTGCTGATGCCCACCTTCTCGGATTACAGTTGAATCATTTTGTAAACAATCTTTGGTCTTATCTCGTATCTGAGGTTTCTACAGTATCATGGGATTTGTTGATGCGTGCACTTCGACAATGTACCTCTTTAGACGATGTTCGCGCAGCCCATATAGCGTATTTACAGTATTTGACTCTTCACTCACTTCTTCATGGTGACTGTGCTTCTATGCGGCAAAATATTGAAAGTGTACTTAGTATTGTTCGTCAGTTTGTTGGAGCTCAAGCACTTCTTACTTCACTTTTAGAACGTGGAAACGGAGATGTATTCTCCATTAAGAGAGAATATCAACGACTGGCAGATGATTTTCATCGAGAAATATCTTCACTTCTAACCACACTTGAGGAGCAACATCTTCAATTCGATTTCTTGAACTTTCTCCTCCTTAGGCTTAATTTTAATCATTTCTATCATGATAATGCATTTAGTACCAACACAGAATTTTAGAATTCCAGTTTTTGTTTTTGTTTTTTTCGTTTTTGAACTTTCTTTGTCTTTGGGTGTTTTTTCTTTGAATTTCCCGTTTTACATGTCCCTTTAGAGAATGGGACTGTAATACATGAGTGAAAGGGGAACATTGAACAGACTCATATGATGGAACTTAAGGTCATTGAGGAATGTTGATCACGTATTCGATCCTCAGGTAGAGGAGAGGTGATTAGTGAACGAATGGACAGAGAAAGCTAGAAAGAGAGAAAGAGGAATGAAAGAGAGGTTTCTCTAAGTTGGTGTAAGGGGGATGAATCGAATACAAGGGATACTTTTTTTTTTTTGTTATTATTGTTCTTCTGTGTTTGTGTGTGAACACTTTACAGGTTCATTCCCTTCTCGTGTATAAGTAGATACCACTCTGGAGTAGTGCTACTTGGCAATGAAAGTAGATGGATATTGGTGGTTTTTTTTTTTTTTTTTCAATAAACCATGGTAGTTACATGTCATATGGATTTCTTTCGTACTTGATTCTCTATTGAAGAAAAAAAAAAAGTGCAGAGAATTAAATTAGTGTGGGTCAAAAGGCAAAAAAAAAAAAGAATTATGAGTTCTTTTTTTGATGTTCCAGAGCGAAATGTACTGAAGGAGGCCAACCAAAACAGTTCCCGTTGTTTCGCTTCTTCACCCAATGTACTGGGTATCCTTCGCCCAGAGCAATCTATGGGTGAAGCTCCGCTCTTTCTCTTAGTACTATTTCTTGCTTTTTTATTTCTGTCAGGTCCAAGCAGGGCGATATGGGATCATTTGATGGTCAAGTTGAGACGACGCCGAGGAGAACTTAGAGGGGAAGTAGTGCGTACTATTACGGGTGAATTTCACCGTGGAGACTCTCAATACCGCTGGAGCGAAGATAGAGGAAGTAGTCATAGTGGAGTCCTTTTTAATGCCGTTTTACTGCGTATTGCTAGTGATGGGGAGAATTTTATGAAAGGAAATATATGGAAAGCCGAAAAATGGCTTGACAAACCTTCAGTATTGTTTCTTTTTGATCCACTCAAAAGTGATTCACACTTGGTTCTGGGTTCATCTTCATTCGAACCTGTTGGATATTATCATGCAAATGTCGAATATCGTGCTTTTCAGGAACGAAGTCAGCTATATAGATATACAGTTCTGAGGCTTCCAACAGCAGGTTCGTGGATATCACTTTCTGACAACATTGAAGTAACTTATCAACGGCGAAGAGTGAATGGGGAAAAAGTAGAGAAGGTTGATCACACACTATATTTAAAGGCCCAGGGTCAAAAAAGTGCTGAGAGATTGGAGAGTTTTGTGCAACAGTCTATTCAAGAATATGTTACGAGGTTACCAGTTGCTGTGGGAGCCCAGAAATATTACTTTCACATGCAGAACGATGGAAAGATGTTACGCTTTAAAAAACAACCTCTTGGGATTTTTAACTCGTTTGATACAATGTTCTTCAAACAGAAAAAAAATGTAATAGATTTACTTGACCGTTTTTTAGAAAAACGAGGACGATTTGCTGTTGAAGGATTTCCTCATAAAATTGGTTTTTTTGTGTACGGTTCACAGGGGACGGGCAAAACATCATTTGCTACCGCAGTGGCGGCTTACACGGGTCGTCACGTGATTTCTGTGGATGTATCTATGATTTCCACAAATAAACAACTATATGATATATTCCTTAGTCGTAGTCTTCATTGCATCGGTGAAGTTCGACCATTTACATTCGAGTTCGCTGACGTTATATTTCTTCTTGATGACACGGATCCGATGGAGAAATTAGTACAATCTCGCGATTCAAATGAAAATAATGTGAAAGAAGATATATTCGACACCAAAGCGTTATCACTTATTAGCAAGTGTAAAATAATGTCAACTGACAAGGTAAGTCTTTCAGCTTTTCTCAACGTTCTTGATGGTGTGGTTGAAACTCCCTCCCGCATTATGATTATGGCTACGCGTAATCCTAAAGGTTTTGATCCTGCTTTACTAAGGCCTGGTCGCTTTGGATACAAAGTTCATATGGAACAAATGCATTTGCCAGAATTGATAGAGTTATTGGGACTTTATTTCGGTACAGAAGAAACAATCAAGAAGGCACGTTACACCAACGTAGTAAAGGAATATTATGGATATGATGAAGCAAGTAAACCATTACGGCGATTATCACGTAAAGATAAGGCGCGCGTGGAACAGTGTGTTTCGTCACTAGAACCTACAGGTTTTGTTATAAGCGGTGCAATAGCTCAGTCTATATGTTTTTCTTCTACTTCTCTTGATTCCTTTTTGGATAATTTGCAGCACCATCTCAGAAACAAATAAATTCTACATGACAATTAGAACTCCTACTACAAAGATTGATCCGTCTCTGCATTGATACCCACACATCTTTTTATTGTCTTTATTTCTTCCTTGATTGGTATTGCAAACATGAAACTATCTCTAACATGTATAAAGAAATACTGTATACCATTGATATTCTACCTCTCTTCGTACTTGTACCTTTTTATCTCTTCTAATTCTCTTTTTTTTTTTTTATGAGTAGCAAGCTAAACAGCACCCCGAGCACTCCACTTTAATTCCTGCCATGGCCGTTACTTACGATGGACAGCTGAAGGGCCACCGTGGGTGGGTCACCTCCCTCGCCTGCCCGCAGTCCGCTGACTCGTACATGAAGGTGGTGTCAACATCCCGTGACAACACACTCATCTCATGGGGCGCCAACCCCGACCGCCACAGCGAGGAGAGCGACTACGGTCTCCCTGAGCGCCGTCTGGAGGGTCACAGCGCTTTCGTGTCTGACGTTGCTCTGTCGAACAACGGCGACTTTGCCGTCTCCGCCTCCTGGGACAACTCCCTGCGCCTGTGGAACCTGCAGAACGGTCAGTGCCAGCACAAGTTCCTTGGCCACACCAAGGATGTGCTCGCCGTGACCTTCTCCCCAGACAACCGTCAGATCGTCTCCGGTGGTCGCGACAATGCTCTGCGTGTGTGGAACGTCAAGGGAGAGTGCATGCACACGCTCAGCCGTGGTGCCCACACTGACTGGGTCAGCTGCGTCCGCTTCTCTCCCACCCTCGAGACACCACTCATTGTTTCGGGTGGTTGGGACAACCTCGTGAAGGTGTGGGACCTTGCCAGCGGCAAGCTCGTCACCGATCTGGTAGGCCACACGAACTACGTCACCTCCGTGACAGTGTCACCCGACGGCTCGCTCTGTGCCTCCTCTGACAAGGATGGCGTTGCCCGCCTTTGGGACCTGACCAAGGGAGAGGCTCTGTCGGAGATTGCTGCTGGTGCTCCCATCAACCAGATTTGCTTCTCGCCCAACCGCTACTGGATGTGTGCTGCCACCGAGAAGAACATCCGCATCTTTGACCTGGAGAACAAGGAAGTCATCGTTGAGCTCACACCGGAGGCACAGCAGAAGAGCAAGAAGGCACCTGAGTGTGTATCCATTGCGTGGTCCGCCGACGGCAGCACCCTGTACTCTGGCTACACAGACAATGTCATCCGCGTCTGGAGTGTGTCTGAGCAGGCATAACTGCGTCTATCCCTGCGACATTGACAAGTGGCAATCCTTGGTGTTTTGTGCTGTCATCAACTCCCGGGACGCTGCACTGTGACACGTTGACCTGGAGTTGGATGGCTTGCTTTTTTCTTTTTAATTTTTGTTTTTCATTTTTTGCCTGTCTTTTGATTTACCTTAAACGTGGTTTTTTTTACTGGAGTGATCTGGTTGTTGTTGTTTTTTTTGTGCGTGAGAAAGATGCCATGTTTCTCCTTATAAACGTTGTGATTTTTTTTTGTTACATATTGCTTACTTATTTTTTTGTTTTTTTAGCTATTTCGGTGTAGGTATACATATATTTAGTTAACGTATTTGTTCCATGATACGTCGAAGCATGAAGTGGTCAAGTGCACTGAACAACAGAAGCAACACAACCAATGTTCCTGTTGTTGCACCAGGTGTTTTGCGATCCTTATACCGTATGCTACTTAGAGAAGTGAAAAAATTAGACGATTCTCCCGTCTCAAAGACTTTGTTTCCACTTAATAAGGAGCTACAAAATATCACAAAAAGCCATGGTCCTCTTTATGTTCCTAATGGAGTAAAATATATGAAAGTTCTGCGTGATGTGTTTCGTGATACAAAATCTCCTGGTAATGTGAATTTAGCTTTTGATACGTTAACACGTCTCCGAGCGCACAATGAGAAAGTTACCGCAAAAGTTCCTGTTTTTATGAAGGACCATACTCCTTTAATTAATACAATGAAAGCGTCTCAGCCAAAAAAAGGTATCTACCGAGCTGAACCTATTAAATATACAATTAACAAGGGCCCTAAGTATGCCCCTCTTGTTGGTTCTACGTTTTCTGTTCCTACTAAGGTCGTTCTGCAACAAACTCAAACTGTTGATCTTGCAGAAGGTGTGGCCTTAGTTGCCCATCCTCTTTCTTCAACGCATGTGGATCGACGTGTGTTGCTAATTACAGAGCGTAATCATCATGTTACTACAGCTGTTGTACTAGACATGATGTTTACTTACCCCCTTTCTCGTGGGAATCCTATGTTCCCTGAAGTGTTCTGGGGTCATGAAGTGTATGATGGAGGTTTTTCACAGATTGGCTTCACTATGCCTCCTACAGCGCAGATTAGTATTCTTCATACTACTAAACCTCCCACAGAACCAGAGTCTTCTCAATATCTTGCTTGGCTTAAATGGAAAGATACCAAATCAAAATCCAAAACGGCAGAAACTCCTGCAGAACATCATTCTTTATTATGTAAGCCTCTTATTCGTGGTGGGATTTTAGAAGATGGTAGTGAAGAACCAACGCTATATTTATCAAAAGTAGAGGCACTTCCATATTTGGCTCAATTGTTGCCAGGTAAACCACGATCCTCCCTTCGGGTATACTGGGGTAGCATGCGATGGCCTACACAACAACTTGAGACTGAGGTGGCGAACGGACATTGGATTCCTGTTAAGCTTTCTCCACAGTTCTTTGGACCATATCCATTAGTACCAGAATCTGGAAAAGTGGAAAGGTTTCCTACAAAGGAAGAGTTGGAAGAAGCTAGGGTAACACGTGAACGACGATATGGTGTAGATATTTCCCTGCCACAAGTTTTTCCTCCGGATCAGATCCTTCGACGTCGTGAATGTTTGTGGGACCAAATTATGTATAGTCTTGGAGGAGAATTCAGTGCTTTGGTAGGATGTGTGAATCCTTTCTCAGGAACCACACGTGGAGTTTTACCACTAGAAGTCTCAGGACCCTCTGTAATGAGTGAAGCTGTGGCTGCCGTTGATGATGATGATGATGATGATGCTTCAGCTGAAGGGGACACAATATTAATGGAAAGTGATGAAACAGGGGAAGAAGAAGAAGAAGAGGGGGAAGAATATGGGAGCAGTGATGATGACCACGATGTCCATAATCTCGTATTTAGTGATAAGACGGAGGTAGAGAAAGGGTCAACGCCACGTCTAGTGGAGGAAGACGAGAAACCATCAGCTGTGGTTAAACCTGTTGGAGAAGAAAAAAAAAATGACAAAGAAAAAGAATAATCTTTAGTCTGTATATCTTTCGCACGTTTACAAGAAAAAAAAGAGTGTGGGTGGAGAAATTAGAGGTAATGTCAATCTCTTTGAAGTCTAAAAGAGCTGCATCATTTTGTATTTGCAATTTTTTTTTTCTTCCTCGACACTTCTGTGCTTGCCTGTCTCTTTTTGTTTTTTTGTTTTTTTTTTTCTTTGTTTGTTTCTATATTTGAGAAATGATAAGAGAAACTTCATGAATAAGCATAATTATTGTATGTCATTGATTTTTGTTAGGCTGCTTCCTTCTCATGTTTGGTTTTTTTTTTTTCATTTTTCATCTCTTTCGCTTCTTCTTTATCGTTTTTAAGCCTGGGAGATTGCAACTGAGCGGAGGTGCCTGTCCAGAAGTACAGGAGTGCAGTCACGTAGTCTTCTTTGTGTGTGTGTGTGTTTTTTTACTTCACTCGTTAAGTAATGACTGAAGGTGCGATAAACCACAAGATCACCCTACGCCTTACCCCCAAGACAGGCATAACGGAAACACTTCCTAATATGAATTGTGACCCAAGTGAAACTTTAGGTCAGATACAGGCCCGTATTAAGAAAAAATTAAAGCGTCCTGTGCTTTACTTGTTCATCATGCGTGGATCTGAGGGGTTTATACCAACACCTGATCAAACACTGGAGTCTTTGTTGCGTGCCTATGCAGAGTCAAAGGAGCAAAGGGAATTGTCAATAGCTGTATCAACAGGAATTTTTCACGGTTGATTGTCATTGGGATGATTGGTACACCTGGGAAACTGCTAGAGACGGAAAGAAAGAAAAAAAAATCTAAACACCAGCAACGAAAGAAAAATGTATCTAGAATGTTTTTTTTTTCTTTTTCTTTCTCTTCAGAGTAAAAAAAAAAAAAAAAAGAAAAAAAACTATCAAAGATAGAGACCAGAATCAAAGAAAAGTAGAATTATAAAAAGAAAAAAAACATTTAACCCATTACAATATATTAAGTACAGCAGGGGAATGAAAAGAGGATGTATATTTTTTGAGAAGCTTTCCAGTTATGTCTCGTTGCGGTATGCCCCGAGTTTTCGGCAGCCCCAACCTTCTGAAGTAGTGGGAGTCTCTACCAAATTAATTCCTTCTGATTGCGTTCCTGCGTTTGTGATTCCCAACGTTATTACAGAAAGGGAAGAAAAGGCTCTCCTTTCTCTTGTTGAACCGTGGTTCGCCCGCCTCCCATACAACGACGGACATGCCGATTCTCTGATACATCATTTTAAAGAATTCTATCGCTCTTACAAGGGGTTGGTGGGAGATGCGGCGTCGGAGGTAAAGGGTAACACGTGCGAAACGCGAAATGGGGAAAAAGACTTCCAACTTTGCCACACTGCTTTAAAAAAATGCCGGGGGTTAGCGGCAGAATATCTCTCAAACATTCCCTTGGACGATAGGGTTCATTTTTTGCGATTAAGCGGAAATGGGTTTATTCGGGCACATGTTGATGAAAGTAGAAATTCAAGTGGAATTATCGCCGGCGTTTGCCTTGGATCCGCACGCGTGATGACGCTGACGCATCCAAAATACCCTGGGGAAAGGGTGGAATTAATGCTTGCACCGCGGTGTTTCTACATTCTTATCGGAACGGCGAGATATGAGTGGGAACATAGCACCGATTGGGTTGAAGACGATGCCGAGCACCTTGAACGCGCACGCGGCCGCAGAGTGGTTGAAGGAACCCCACTTATTTTTGATGGGAAAGAAACGGAATTCAGGAGGGGAGAACGGACAGCTGTAATATTCCGCGGCGTTTCGCCTATGGAGTTGTTGCTCTCCAGGTCCGGGCGCGGGCGGGCAGAACGATAGAACGGAAAAAGCCGGACGCAAACACCCACCCGAAAACGGCCCCAGCGACAGGGAGACGCAGCGGGACGGCTGAAAGAAAAAAAAAAAATAG